GAGACCCAAAATGATTTCAACATAAAAAGTGATGAATACCAAAGTTCAAATAATTAATATCTACAACTTTTATTTTAGTCATCTTGTTATTTGACAAAATTTCAACCTTTCAAATTTGAAATTTTGAAAAACGACAAGTTCGAACCAAAATTTGAGACCCAAATTGATTTCAACATAAAAAGCGATGAATACCAAAGTTGTTAAACTCATGAATATATACAACTTTTATTTTGGTCATTTTTTCATTTGACAAATTCTTAGCACACATTGTTCACTAATCTTACACATGTCTCATATAGTTTATAAAACCTCGTGAGAGATGTGTCACATTTGTGAACAATGTCGTTACCACTTTATCATATGAAGAAATGACCAATACAAAAGTTGTAGATCTTGATGAGTTATTCAACTTTGGTATTTATCACTTTTTCAGCTGAAATCATTTGGGGAACCAAAATCTTGTCTGAAGTTGCATTTTTTTGAAATTCAAAATTTAAATTGCTCAAACTTTTCATATGTATATATTGACAAAACCAACAAAATAAATTGATAGAGAATGATTTTAGAAAAATTTAGGAAAAAAATCATCAATTATCATGTTATACGTTTATAAATAGAAAAACATGCATGCCTTTATCACAAAACGGCGAGTGCTCCAGTGGTAACGCACCAACATGTCTTGCAGCAGGTCGCGGGTTCGAATCTCCCTGCGTGCGCTATTTTTTGGCAAAAAAAGGGAGGCGGAAGGATGCAGGTCCACCTGGACCATGTGGGCCACACTGCCCCACTTGTTCGCCGCCACGTCCTCAGGCTGAGACCCGCTGGTGGGACCGCATCGCCACTTCTTCGAGGTTGGGACCCAATGGTGGGACCACATCGCCACGTCCTCGAGGTGGGACCTGCTGGTGGGACCACGACGCCACGTCCTCGAGGTGGTACACGAGCCAAACGATCTATGACGATTTAGTTTTGTTGTTTTATGACGGTTCTTTTGTTTTCGTCATTATTCTTCGTGTCAAAGCTCCGTCACTTGTTACTTATGACGAAGCTGGAAATTTCATCATAGAAAGCGCTTGTTCTGTGACGAAATTTGCAAGCGTCACGACTGAATCGTCATTGATGAACACATTTCTAGTAGTGCAATACAAACCAAATATGTGGTACAAATCTGTCCTGCCACGTGGTCGAATAAAAAAAGAAATGTGGGTAGCTCAGGGCGCAACATGTGGCCCAATAAAACACTAACACGCAGACGTACAACATCGAGACACGTGGTCGAGTAAAAGAAAGACATGCGGGGTATTGTGGTCACGCCACGTGGACCAATAAAAATATGACCTATGGTCTAACGAATAAGTGACACGTGACCCAACCGCAACATAACACGTGTGCCAATAGAAAATTGACATGTGGAACAACAGGGGGCCAACACGTGGTCCAGTAAGAACCTGAAACATGCAAGAACTAGAGATGACCACGTTATGCAATAAGAAGGTGACACATACCTGAACCATCTCCAATGCAACCGGCTATAGCATGTACACGTGGAAAGCATCTCCAATGGAAGCATCCGTCAGTGTGGCTTCCCCCTGCCACACATGCCAAAATACTTCTATGGATCAATCCACTTCTATGACGAATTTCTAGATTCATCATAGAAGTTCAAGTATGGCGCGACTTCTATGACGAATCATTTTTCGTCATAAATTCGTATAAAACTGAAATTATGACGAATTTGGCTCCTTTAGTGATGAAAGTTGTTCATCATAGAAGTGGATATTTCTAGTAGTGACACCATTATGTGGACCAATTGTCATTCCATTACCAAAACCCAAACCGGGTCTTTCACGAGCCCAACACCATGTCCTAGGGAAGGTTTTGGTGACCAGGAGCATGTCTTGGTAGAGATCCAACCTGGACTTGGGGTTGCATTTCAGCAACCGATACGATGGGATGCACCCCGCATCTGGAAGTTTGCCCTTCTTGATTGATCATTCACTTAGTGGTTTTAAGCTTCCACAATTGTGTTTGTTCATGTAACCTTTATGTTTTCATATTAACATATGCTAGTTGGTAGGATTGGTTTTTATGTTACGAAACTCTCTATGGGTTTAGATTGGTAGAGATCACTAGAAAAATGTAGGTCCACATCTTGCTAGACTAGGTTATATTTTTGTCTTTCTAGGATAAATCAAGTAAAGCTGGGAAACCCAATTCACCCTTTACCTCTTAGGCCTCGGGCTCTAGGACTCAAGGTTTCTTTCAGTTATCCTCACCACTGGTCCGTCCAGTTTTTACTGTCTTCTAAGTGTTTGCTTGTTTTGACTTAGTTTCTTCTGCGGATTTCGCATTACTTGTTTTATTTTGTCCCAGGATCTAACTGAACATGTTTAACACATCACACATGTTAATCGATCATATTGATCATGTATATCATTTCAATCAACAAAGGCACAACATACATGGAATAGGGGCCATGTTTGCTATGTCTCACTGTCAATGCCTCTTGTGGCCGGTGGTGTCATTGCCACCTTGCTGTCGTGCCTCATTGCTACTACCACTGTCTTAGAGTAACTTCAAGAGCCTCTTTATATTAAAAAAAATACTCCAACAACTTCTTTAATTAAATTTACAAATATTAACATTCTCTATTTTGGATTTCTCGTAATCTAAAGATAAAGAGTGAGAGATTATTCATTTTTAGAGCATGTATAAAATATAAAGAAACTTTGGAAGGGCACTATGTGAAAAACAGTTTGTAACAACGGGGCTTTTTCTTTTTAGGGGCGGCTAGCATTGGAGCCGCCCCTACAGTGATGTATTCAGACTCCAACACAACAGCCGCCCCTACAAATGGCACAGTAGGGATGGCTGGTAATACCAGTCACCCCTACAAATCGAGTCTATTTATAGGAGCGGCTCGTATTACCAGCCACCCCTGTTGTGTCCATTTGTAGGGGTGGCTGAATCACCAGCCGTCTCTACAAATATCCATTGTATATATATAGCAGCTACATTCTTTCACAAGAAAAAAAAAATCCAAACCCTAACTCCCTCTCGCGCATCCGCATCCGCCTCTCCCTCTCCCTCCTCTCTTGGCGGCGGCTCCCTCTCTCTCTTGTCTCCGCTCTCCTCCCTCCCTCTTCTCTTAGCGGCACAGGAGGGCCCAGGCACGGTGGTCCGGCGTGGCGGCGCGACGGCCCCAGCGTCATGGCCTGCGGGCCCCCATGCGGAGGTAGCGCGGCGGCGCGGTGCTAGGTCTTCCTCCACTCACATCCGTCGCCGCCCCGAGGGCTCCTCCGAGCTCGAACGCATGCTACCGCCCCGAGGGCTCCTCCGAGTTCGCACCCACGCCGCCACCCCCAGCGCCCTCCCCGACGGCCGCACTGCCTTCCCCGGGCCGTCCTCGAAGCCAAAGCTGCCGGCCCCGGGGACCTCCTGGACGCTCGCGCCGCCGCCCCCAAAGACCTCCACGACACCCATGTCGCCGCTCCGAAGCCCTTCCCGAAGCCTGCGCCGCCACCACCAATAACCTCCTTGACGTCCAAGCCACCTCCCCCAAGGCCATCAGGACACCTGCGTCGCCGCTGCCCCCCAGCGCCCCTAGAGGCTCACGCCCCAGTGTCCTCTCCGGCACCGGCACCCATGCCACCACCACCACACGGGGCTAAGCCGCATCAACCCGCCCATATGACGAGGTGCCCTCTCTCTCTCTCCCCCCCAACCTCCTTTCAGATCTGCTCTCCCAACCTCAAATCAGATTTGCTAATTCTAGATGATATGCAAATTATTGCCTAGTTAGGTTTCTCACATGCTATAAAGCGTTGGTTCAACTGAAAATTGAAATGGTGCAAATTATTGGCTAGTTAGGTAGGGGACGAACGCTGACTGCAGGGCCATCAGATAGGCATGTATCCAGACAGTCCAGATCGGAATGGAAGGAAGCAGTGAATTTACAGCTTGTTTGTCTCCTTCCCCTTGTTCCAAGTAGCTAATCAATATCTGTGTTTGATTTGGATTAGATCTGCTGCCAAGTAGCAGCAGCAATGGCATTCATTTTGAGTATGTAGATTTGATTTTTTTTTCTAATAATGTGATGATTTCAGTCCTATAGTCGTAGCAGAATTCATTAAGTTGAGCCAAGACTGCAACCTTTTTGTTTAGTTTTTGTGCCACGAAACAGCATATGCTTGCTTGATTTGTTAGTGTGTTTTTGCAATGACAGAACAGCTAAAGGTGACTTGCTCATCATTTGTATGTGCCAGGATTGGTTAGTTGTTCTTTTGTTTTCGGGAGAATTTATTCAGTTCAGGCTTCAGAAAGATGTTATATGGAACGTTATGCAGGGTATAGCTGGAACTTGGGAGTTTATTACAGTAGTCATCATCATACATCTATCGAGCTCACGCCGTGAGTTGAAATGTGCAAATTGTGTAATACATGACGCAGTAAAGGGTTGTCCTTCTGAAGTATGTAAATCACTACAGCTAGAGCTAGCTGTTAGTAAGATGGCTTACAGCCTTACCCAAGGGCAAAAAATGCTTGTGCAGAAATGATCGTTTTATGTAATTACTAACATATGTCCTCTGTCTTTTCTGAAGCATTATGCGCCGATTAACTCTGGGTCTCTCTTCATATATTATCAGTCCAGGTTTTCCTGCCTTTTTTCCCCCACATGATCATGTCCTTATGTCAGGTGACGTGTGTTTCACCATGCTGCATTGCACAACTATCAATTAACACATACTAATATATGTCATTGCATTTATTTTCTTTCTTGCTCTAGGTTCTTTCACTCTGCAGTTCATGCTTCACATATGTGATAATTTTCTCTTGATGATCACATTCTGTCATGTAATATGCAGTTATGTTTTTTTTTTGCAAGAAATGCAGTTATGGTATATTAATACACCTGCCAGTAACATTCAATGATATGTTGCATTGCTCATTTTTATTTTGAAATCTAAGGATGCCTTACATTGCCCTTTTCCACTGAAACTATGTGTATTGATTATGGTGTGAAGCCACAAAGAAAGCAGTTAGCAATCCTGTTCATGATTGTATTTTGTGAGGAGATTTTAGGAGCACAATTGAAGACTATGTTAGCGTTGGTAACAGACTATAAGGTTTTTATCCCCTTTGTACATGTATAATCTAGCAAGTGTCTGTAATTACTCTTATTATTTTCTACTTTTGGGATTTACTGAACCCACATCAGACAAACTGCTACCAGATCTACTTCTGGTCAAATTTATTTGTAAATTTAAATTTGAATTGTAAATTTGAATTTGAATTGTAAATTTGCTATCAGACAAAATATATGTTCTGGTTGAATTTGAATTGTAAATTTGAATTTTTTGGCAGAAAAATGTACTCTAGGGGCGGTTGGTACTGTAGCCGCCCCTACAAATCGATTTGTAGGGGCGGATGTTACTGTAGCCGCCCCTACATATCGATTTTATAGGGGCGGCTGTTGTTACTAGCCGCCCCTACAAATTGATTTGCAGGGACGGTCTGAGAATCGTCCCTACAAATACATAATTTGTAGAGATGGTATGATAATGGCGGCTGACCGAGCCGTCTCTACGAACCATCGCCGGACGCCGCTATAAATACTTTTTGTAACAGTGGGGTGAAATGGTACCGAGAACCATTTTTATTTAAATGGCTCCAGATAACAATAGCAAGGAGCACGGACGGCAAACATACTACTACTACTCGCGAGGTGAATAATTTTTTGACAACACACTCGCGAGGTGAATTTGGCCTGCCCCGAGGGGATGGAGGCGCCACTGTCTTGTCTTTTCCGCTAATAAAGCGATCCTCCTGGACAAAGCCCCAAGTTACAAGACAGCTTTTTCTTTTATCCTTTCGGAACTAAGTTCACAGGACCAAATATATATGTATATATAGGAACTAAGAAGTGCAAAAGGTTTTATTTTCCTCTTTCTCCTCTCACTAGTCACTAGCCAGCATAGTAGTAAATAAATAATAAAGATATAAAGAGAAGGCATTATTCGCATCTCTCTTCTCTCTCCGCGTTCTTATCAGTAGCAAGCTCGGCACGTCATTGCACACTGCGACACCGAGCCGAGCGCGAGCCTCCGTCCGAGAAGTCCAAATCTTTAGCTCTCCCCGACGCATGCCCGGATCGATCGGTCCAGCTCTACCCACCGGAGAGGAGGAGGCAGATCGACCGACAGCTGACTAAGGTGGATCCACGGCGGAGGCATGGCAAGAGGCCCCTACCCGCCGACGAGGAGGAAGAGGAGGAGGAGCTGCCCCCGGGCCCGCCGCCGCCAAAGCACGAGCAGCTGGATCAGGAGCCGCATCACGTCGACGTCTCGCAGCTGCAAGCAGGAGCCACCTTTAGCGCCGGCGGCGGCGGAGGGCCGTCGTCGTCGTCCGTCGTCGTCGGTGCGGCAGCCGCCGGCCCGTCGCCGGAGGCGTACGCGCAGTACTACTACTCGGCGCGCGCCGACCACGACGCCTCCGCCGTGGCCTCCGCGCTAGCCCACGTCATCCGCGCCTCGCCCGACCAGCAGCTCCCGTCGCAGCAGCAGGCGGCGGCCTTGTACGCCGCCGCCCCCGGCCTTCATCCGCAAGCGGCTGCGCACCACCATCCGGGCGGCCACGTCGCCACTGCCGAGGAGGAGCAAGGTACGCGCACGTAGCCATCCATCCGTCCTCTCATCGGTCGATGCAAGCAAGCTAGCATTACTCCTTGTCCTGTGTGCGCGCGCGCTCGATTGCGAAAGCATGGCACGCGCACGGCTTCCGTTCCGCTCGATTGCGCCGTTGGGAAGCTTCGCACCGTCCAAATCAGTGACACGTCCATCTCGATCCCGCCAGTAAATTACCAGCAGCTCTACGTACTTATATTACTCCTTTCTAGTAGTAGCTAGTAATAATCCGTGGGTTAATTTCTCATTAACAATGAACTCTCGAGAAAGTACACGAACTGGCCAGGATCATGCAGCTAATAACTATGCTGAATTATCTTGCCAAGGAAGAGTATTTTATGCGTACGAATACGTTAGCTGTGACGCAACGTACTCTCACGACGACGATTTGATAAAACTTGTTTGTATGTGTCGAGGGCCAAGTAGTAGTTAATTGAGGATGGCCATGTGTTTTGTGATTGCGGATTAGTAAACAAAGCATGTTTTGTGTGCCCGCAGCAGGTCGGAGGCGGCACTACCGAGGGGTGAGGCAGCGGCCGTGGGGCAAGTGGGCGGCGGAGATCCGGGACCCCAAGAAGGCGGCGCGTGTGTGGCTGGGCACCTTCGAAACGGCGGAGGACGCCGCCATCGCCTACGACGAGGCGGCGCTGCGGTTCAAGGGCACCAAGGCCAAGCTCAACTTCCCGGAGCGCGTGCAGGGCCGAACCGACCTCGGCTTCGTCGTCACCCGCGGCATCCCAGACCGGCACCTGCAGCATCCATCGGCGGCGGTGACCCTGGCAGCAATGCCACCGCCGCCGCACCACCGGGGCCACCAGACCGTCGTGCCGCACCCTGACCTCATGCAGTACGCGCAGCTGCTGCAGGGCGGCGGCCGGGGCGCCGGTGGTGACCACGCCGAGGCAGCGGCGGCGGTCCAGCAGGCGCAGCAGCAGCTCATGATGATGGGCGGCGGCTGGGGCGTCAACCTGCCCTTCTCGTTCTCGCCGTCGTCGTCCTCGTCGGCGGCGCAGATACTGGACTTCTCGACGCAGCAGCTCATCCGGCCCGGCGGCGGCCCGCCGTCGTCGACGGCCGCGGCAATGTCTTCGTCGTCGGCAGCCTCTGCGGCGGCACCGTCAACGCCGTCGTCCACGACCACAGCAGCGTCGTCGCCCAGCGGCAGTCATGCATGGCCGTACGGTGGGGGGCACCACAGGAATAAAAAAGACGCGTGATCGGCCGAGCTGGATATATGCATGCATGCAACTTGCAAGCTTGTAATGCGATGCGAAGCGAGAGGATCAGATCAAGTAGCTGTATGGAGGAATGGAATATGCATGCAATATGGCCGGGCGGGGTAAGTGGCAGCGACGTTTTTTGGTGCAAACATTAGCATTTCTTGGCCCTTTAATTTCCACGTGGATTTCTTTTTTTTTTCTCTCGAAATGATCTTCTTTTGTTCATTTCGTGGAGGATCTTCATCATCACTTGATTAGAGAACTAGCTAGCTAGCTGCTAGGAGGGGCTTTGCTACCTTCTTCCTTTGTGGTCTGCTGCTCATATCTTTGATTTGTTCAAGTGTCAACTAATTAATTACATGTGCAAACTAATTAATCCAAAGCAAGAGGAGAGGAATCTTATTGATGCAATATATATGGCATGCTTTTTCTGTCTCTCTCTCTAAATGATTGATTTATTCTTCCTTTGTCCGTATATTCGTCGGAATATATTGCAAGCTCTCGTATGTTCTGTCTTGTATATTTCGGATTGTACAAAACGAACCACATCATCAATAGATGAACACTAGACGACTTAGCTAGCTAGGAACATTGGTTTGAGGCACGATATACCATTCGAAAATTATCTAATTTATTTAAGGGGAAAAGGGAATATTCCCAATTAGTAGTTACTTGTTATTAAAGATTTTGACTTTTTTCTCATCGAAATCATTCTTTTTTCCTGCTGTTTGCATTGCGCATTTGTTCTCTGTCTCTTTTCAGTTAGTTCCCTACCTGATCTATATTCCCTTGTTTCTGAAGGATGTTCCTTAATTATGTCCTTTTCAAGCCTAATTTACATGTGTCATAGTGTTGTGTTACGTACGTAATGGAGTACGTACGTGTAGCATTTTCCAAACTCCAACCAATGCAATTTACGGGAATATTCCCAATTAGTACTTACTTGTTATTAAAGATTTTGACTTTTTTTCTCATCGAAATCATTCTTTTTTCCTGCTGTTTGCATTGCGCATTTGTTCTCTGTCTCTTTTCAGTTAGTCCCCCCTATATATACCTGATCTATATTCCCTTGTTTCTGGAGGATGTTCCTTATGTCCTTTTCAAGCCTAATTTACATGTGTCATATTGTTGTGTTATGTACGTAATGGAGTACGTATAGCATCTTCCAAACTCCAACCAAATGCAATTTATTTAACTAATTCAGGGGCGAGTGGGGGGATAACACTTGAAGTACTGCCCTAAGAATCTTGCTAGAGAAAAGCAGCATATTAATATATAATCAATAGAAGTTTGGTGAAGGCATTCCTTTTTATGATGAGATGCCTTGATGATTATCTGAAAGTAAATCAGCAAACCAAAATACATACTGTGTGCGCTGAAGTCATCCATTTCTTTTCCAGATGAATTCTGGCAGATATTCCAGCTATATATACATGCATCCTCTAATAAAGCATTGTGTGTGCATGCTTGTTCTTGGCCGATGCCATGAACATGCCTCTAGTCTGCCACGTAGACATTTAGCAAAAGTCAGAAATGTAGCTCTAGTTTAATTTAACTAGTAGTATCTCATAGATATTAAAAAATATGTAATTGTGATTTGGTGGCATGTGCCGAGATTTTTGCTAACCTGCCGACATGTGATATATGGTACCAACATATGGAGGAACCTAGCATCCCCATCCCATGCTTCTAGAAGCAAGCACATGGCAGGTATCGATTAAATGCCAAATTGTTCATACACAACTGTATTTTTAATTTATTGGTATATCAATACATCTTTCCAAGCATCCAGCTAGCAACAATGAATAAATGAAGATATATGCATCCATCACATGCATGCATACAAGTATGGTCAGCTTGATTTAATTAACAAGAATCTAGCTAGTATTCTGAATTCAATATCTAGAGATTATGTATTTTTAATTTTTTATTACTGAGCTTTTGGTTCTCCCAAAACTCCTTTTCCCCCCACTAATGATTTGCTTACACATAACCATTTGTCTTGTGTATGTGGTTATCAAGTTGTTAGTTTTTTGTGCAAGGATGGTTATCATGTTGTGGTGACGGATCATCTTTTGCTTCTTTGCTTTCATGATGGGGTACAAGTATCAAAATTTGACACGCACATTTCTTGGCAGACCCCTTTTTCCTTTGGGCTTGTGGCTGCTTGTGCTCTTGCTGTGCGCTACCTGGCAGCAAGCAGCGCGCTTTCGGGCCGGGGTTAGGCATGACTCACGTCTCTTGATATTTCTTCAACTCATCATTTATCGAGCCGGAGAAAATGAAAAAGATAGATGATATACATGCGCTGCCTCATCAGGAGCAGAAGCCTTTTAGGCGCACCATAGGGGGCGTTTGGTTCGTTTCCCTGCCAAGCTGGCTCGCACGAAGGAAGCCCAGGCCACGGTTGGCCAGGCCCGACGCATGCATGCGAGCGTGCAGTGATTGGTGAATCGGTTTCATCCGGCCAGGCTACACACAGATGGCGATTGGTTGGCCCGCTTCCTTCCTGCCTCGTGCAAAAACGGATTCGAAATCCGTTTTTCGGGAGCCAGGCTCCGGGTGGCTCGTTGCACGCCAAGAGCCAGGCCGGCCCAGAACCCCATTCAGGCTTCCAAACGCTGGGAAACTGCATCCCGAGCCAAGCCAGAGTATATACAAGGAACCAAACAGGCCATAGTGCTCCGTGTTGAGATGGTCTCACACGTGTGCATCGGTCGTACACAAGGGACAATGGCACCTAACTTGTCTGATCATGTCCTTCATTCGCTCGTACAGAGAGGATATATACGTGAGACAAGATTGAGCACGTCTGGTCTCAGCTGCTAGCTAGCTAGCTAGCTGCCTAACTAATAACTAACACAAAGACCTTCTGATGCCTACTCACCTTAGCCTTGACATGCTGTTTCAATTTTTTTAGGAGTTGTATGTTTTTCTCAAAGCCAGGAATATATGTGATGATACTGTGGCCATCATCACCCTTTCAAGGGCTTTATTAGCTGATAGTAATATTTTTAGCTTTGCATTGCATGAATACATATATAGGAATACTGTCCATGGATAAGATACTCTCTTGTCCATTATACTTTGCCATCTGATGCTGATGTCAACATCGTTGGCATGCAAGGACCATGGATGGCAACACCAATTTGCTGTGATATAGATGATATATGCTTGGGACCATATGTTTTAATTAGTTGCATAGATGAAACAACTGTTTGACCTACCATGACACATACTCCCTGTGTGTTCACGGGACAAAAAAAACATTATTAGAATATGTATCCTTGTATGGTAGACCTTTTAGTGGGAACATAATTCATGTTAAAACTAAAATGGAACCACATATTTTGGAGGTGTTTGATTTGAGGAGTAATCTCATTAGCCAGATGAGCTGGTAGTTTTCCTCAGGAGTTCATCCCACCATTTTGGTGGGGCTGCCTCATTTTCATGCAAATTATTATGTGTTGTTCAAGCAATAAGTAATGATAGATCTGCATATTTTATTCCTCAACCTAAATAAAATAAATGTAAGAAGCGGGAAAATAACATATGGAGCACGATATTTCTCAAACTAAATGTTAACACCCTGCTAATAAGCTATTGGCTCACGAGAACTCAGCTAGTTGGGCACCTTATTACTCCTGTGGTGAAATCTGTCCACCCAGATTCAAATCAAGTTTTCGACTTAACATATGTTCATATTTTCCTAAATTTCTTCTAGCATTACTCTTTTAGTGGTGAGCGGGATAAGGTGTGTATATGCATGTATGAGTATCCGCATCTGTACTGTGTACTTCCTCTGTCCTAAAATAAATGCACATTTCTCTTTCCGAGTAGTCAAACTTTTAAGTTTGGCTAGATATATACAAAAATATACTAATATTTATATTGTATAATAAATATCATTAGATAGTGTATGAAATTTAAAATGATTGACTCCTCGTAAAGCGAGATATGTGTATTTATTTTAGGACAGTGGGAGTAATTCACAAAAGAAACTATTGGCTCCTTTTGTCCCATCGTTTTATTTACATATATACTTGATTCTCTCGCCTTCTTTTCACACAATATGCATATGCACAGAATATATGTTACGCAGGAATCTTGTTCGCGTTCACGATATGCATGCTTGTCCTCTATTTTTCTCCTGTCCCTTTCTTTTCCTTTCCATTTCCCTCCTATGCTTCCATGCCATGCCGTCTCCATTGAGATAAAAAAAACCATAAGATTAACTGTGGTGGGCGACTGTGCTGTCATTTTCAGAAACATGCACGGGTAAATCCACATTCTCTAGTTTACATGCATTATATACATGTTTTCCAAGATCTTGTGCACAACTTGACCCATGCTTGCTGTTCCTCCGTCATGGACCATTAATCTAGCTATCATATAGCTTGATTAGTAATAAGTATAAATAGCTAGGCTATCTAAATTAAAATGATTGTTTATATAATAGGTGTGACCACTAGGGTGCTGACCAAATGCAACTTCGATTATATATATGCATGTTTGTTCAAGTTCTCGGCCGAACTAACGTGCCCGCGTATATATATCTCTTTTATATTATAGCTAGTGTTTGATACGTCTCTCCAACCATCTTCCGTGCCGCCTCCTGCTGCATGTGCAATATTTACGGAACCTACCAAAGTACCAAGCTACACGTACGCAGTGCGACAAAACGGCACGCTCCTCTCTCTCTCTCTCTCTCTCTCTCTCTCTCTCTCTCTCTCTCCTCTTGAATGGTATACGTACGTACGCCGTTGTAGTCTGGGGGGTACGGTACACTGTACACGTACGACGACTGCGCACGCCAACGTGGCCAAGTGTATCTCATGCATGCATCTGATCTGTGAAGTGGGCGTGGGGCTGCGGAAGCGTGCCGCGCCTCGCCTGCACTGTTCGTACATGCATGGGCCATTTTCTACGCGCATGCATGCCATGTGGGCCCGGGTGGGCCACCGGCCCTGCTTGCTGGCCAGGAGCGCATGCAGTGC